CTATCTCTGGGTCTGCTTCCATCCCTTTCCCCCAACCCCCTCCATGCTCCTCCCCCACCATTTGGCCCTGCCCCCAAGCCCTTTCTATGCTCCTTCTACACCCACTCCCCACCTCCAAATTTATAGCCCCACCCCTACCTCCTTCACGTTGTATTAGGTAGGTGAGGCTGACTAGGTCGAGGATTTGTTCTAGATCGGCATCACACAGCCCCTTGCGCACCAGGTCAGCCACAGTGTCAGGGTAGATCACCTGGTCCCGCAGCGACCCCACTGACATGTAGGGCCTGGGATGGGGTAGCCATGAGGTGGGGGGGCCCAGCTGCCTAGGCAGCCCCCCTTTGGTCCCCCACTACCAACCCAACTGAGAAAGAACCAGGCATCCAGGGCTGCTCCCAAGCCCTATTCACTCCCCAGAGTCCAGCTGAGAGAATCCAGGCATCCAGGGCCCTCCCATGCTCCCCCCCAGCCCCCCCTCCCCCCACCCAGGAACCCAGGCATCTGGGCGCACCGCTGGGGGATGTAGAACATGCGGTGCGGGGGTGGCTTGTAGAGGACACCACTGTAGACAGGCCAGAGTCCCCCCAGCACCCGGAACAGGGAGCTTTTCCCACAGCCGTTGGGGCCTGTGATCAGCAGGTGGGTGCCCTCCTCTACCTGGTGGGGGAGACCTCCAGTGAGACCCCGATGGTGCTCCTCACTCCCAACCCACACCTCCATAGTGCCTCTCTGCCAACCCATGGACCCCCCTTTACTTCCAACCCATAGCCCACCATGGCCCTACAGTGTCCCTCACTCCTGACCCACACCCCCACAATGGTACCCCTCACTCCCAAATCCAGAGCCCCCTCACCCGCAGGCTCAGGCTAGGCACCACCACCTCCCCAGTGGGAGTGATGATGGGGATGTTCTCACACACGATGCCGTTTTCCACGTCCACGACCTGGCCTGGGAGGTCACAGGGAAGTCAGGGGTCCCAGGATGTCACAGGGAGCCAGAAAGGATCATACAGGTCATAAGGGATCAGGGCGGGGAGTCACAAGGGACTACACAGAGTCATGAAGTCACAGGTTGCCACAGGTGCCACAAAGGGCTAGGGCTATGGGGCCAGTGACAAAGAGTTGCACTTCCCTGAGGAGCCACTAGGGAATGACTGAACCTCAGGCAGGGACTAGTTTTATGGCACCATTTTGGTAGACCCCCTAAAAAATGACTGCCACCATACTTGGAAAGTGTATGTGGGGTATGGGGGGGTCTCACCTCGGATTTGGAGGGGCCCGTGGAGGCGCAGCCCATGGCGGAGGACAGGGGGTAGCTCTGTCCTTGCTTCGGCCCCACCCCCCTCAGCATCCCCTGGGCGCTGTATCCGGCCTTGTGCCACGTCTTCAAAGATGTGGAACATCTCGTAGACCCGGGCAGTGTATCCAGCCAATTCCGTCACCTGGGAGATGGGGCGAAGGGGAAGGGAGAGGGTGGGGATGCGGGCATCCGAGCTCCCCTGCTCCTACCTCTCCCTGCCCAGGGAACCCAGGTGTCTGGGATCCCAGCCTCACCCTGCACTAACCTCCTTGTAGGAGGAAAGTACTCTCTCCACAGCATCAGCAGCTGCCAGCAGGAGGCTCCGGGCAGTGGTGAAGGCCTCTGTTCGCTCCCCAACACCTGCCCCCTCATCCACCACCACTGCCCCGCCAAGGCCTGGGGGAGCAGAGTCAGAACTGCTCCAGAACCCCTGCTCCAGGATTTCTGGAGCCCTCCCAGACCTCCTCCCAGCCTTCCCAGTAGCATCCAGTTTCCCTCCAGTCCCTTCCCACTAGCCCCCAGGTCACTCCTAGTCACTCTCTACCTTTTCCAGCCACTCCCAGTTCCCACCACCCCCTAGTACTTCTCCATCCCTCCAAAAGTCCCTCCAGACAACCTCCCATTAGCCCCTAGTTTCCATTTAGCTCCTCCCAGTTCCCTCTGACTCTTCCCGCTCCTCCCCACACTTTCTTTCCAGCCCTTCCCAGCAGCCTTCCACCTTCCCAGTCCCCACCCAGGACTCCCTGACCACCTCCCAGTCCCTTCCAATTCCCATGCAGACCCTCCCAGTGCTCACCGTGGAAGGGCATAGGGGGACCACGCAGTAGGGGCAGCCCCACCATAAGCAGCCCAGCCATGCTCCAGACGTACTTGAGCAGCAGCTGCTCCAGCATCACATAGCCTAGCCGAGCCCGCAACGTCTGCTCCAGCTGCCCAGCCAGAGCTGTGTAGGCCCGCACCAGCACTGCCTGTTCCACCTGTGCCACAGCCCAGAGCAGAGCAGGGCAGGGCTCAGGGGACCCGGGTGTCCAGGCCCACACCCTTAAGCCACACTCTGTACCCAGATAACCCAGCTGTCTGAGCACCTTGACCCCCCCGCCCCCCTCTTTCCTAGGGAACCCAGGAGTCCGGGTGTCCAACCGTTGCCTGCTCCCACCGCCCAGCCCCCACTCCCCTTCCAAGGAATCCAGGCATCTGGGTTCCCAGCCCCACTTGCATGACTTCCCACTCCCCACCTAGAGAACCCCAGGGTTCCAGGATCCCAGCCCCACCTTCTCTCAGCCCCCACCCCCCAAAGTCTTCTCCTAGGGAACCCAGGAGTCTAGGCTCCCAGCCTACCCCTGCTCCCATCCCCAGAGAACCCAGGCATCTGGACACCCAGCCCCCTGCAGTGACCTCCTGGCCCCCGCTCCCCAGCTAGTGAATCCAGGCACCCAGGCTTTCACCCTAGGCCATGTTTTCTGTCCAGACAAACCGGGTGTCCAAGCCCCCCAGCTCCTCTCCTATGGAGCTCAGTTGTCTGGGCAACCAAGCCCCTATGCTGTGACCCCCAGCCTGTTCCTCCCCCAAAAAGGCAGGCACTGGGGTCAGGACAGGGTCATGTGGTGGTGGGGTGGAGCTCTGGTCCCCCCAGGTCATGGCCTTCCTTCCCTGGCCCCAGCAGACACAGGAGGTAAACAAGACAGACAGACAGACAAGGGACATTGCTCCCATCTGACCCCCTCTCCCAAGCCAGGAGAGGACCCAGGCATCTGGGCATCCTCTCCCAGCCCTGCTCTCAACCCCCTGCCCCAGCCCCTCTTTGTGGCCCAGAAACCCAGGCATCCAGGCTCCCAGCTTCCTTCCACATTTATTTCCAACTCTCCCCACCCTGCCTGAGTCCTCTGGTCTGAAGACCCAGAAGTCCAGGCTCTGCTCCCCACTCCCCCCACCCACTAAAGAACCCAGGTGCCCTCTCAGACCCTGCCCTCACCCCCACACCCTGCAAGGACCAAGTGCCTTGGCTCTCACCACCCTCCCACCCAACTGCAAGAAAAGAAACCAAGAGTCCTGGTTCCCCCTTGCCCCCGCCTCCAAGAACCCAGGTGTCCTAGCTCTTCTCCCCCCACAAAACCCAAGAGTCTTTGCTCCCTCCAGCCCTCCCAAAGAACCCCAGGGTCCTCACTCCCCACCAGCTGCCCCCCCGCAAAGAACCCAGGTGTTCTGGTTTCCCTTCCCACCCCTAAAAGAAGCCTGGTGTTGTAGTTCCTCCCCCCCACCTACCTGGTGACCCCCGTAGAAGGCAACCTCTTCAGCATGGGCAGCCAGGCGAGCGTGGAGGCCCCGCAGCTGTCCGCAGCGCCTCGCCTCTTCAGCCACCAGCTCCCCAAAGCCGGGGGCACAGGCCTGGAGCAACCAAGCTGTGGCTCCCACCACCAGACCAGCCAGTGCTGCCGGCCCAGCTGCTCCAACCCCCCGTGCTTGCGCTGCCCCAAGCAAGGCCACCATAATCACAGCCACATCCAGCACCGGCTTGGTCAGGTTGGAGTAGAGCCGGGCCACAGCCCCCGCCCAGGCTGCCACATCATCTGTCAGTGCCTGCTCAGGGGCCGCCAGTCGCCCATCCATGTGGCTAGCCCGGTAGTATGCCTGACCCTGGAAGTAGAGGGTGTAAGCCTGGGCTACCAACCGGCCTCGTAGTCCCAAGGCCAGCCGCCCTTCTAAATAGCGCAATGCACTGTTGACACCTGTAGCTGGCAAGGCTAAGAGCAGCCACCGCACGAGGAGGCTGGCAAAGCGGCGGCCACGGCGTCGCACCACAGCCCGGGCCAAGCGCCCGTCGAGTTGGGCAACATAGAGCGAGAGGAAGCTGCGGCTGGCCAGAGCAGCCGTGTGCTGAGCCAGGAGCCCAGCCTCAGGGCTCAGGGGGCCTGACAGGGCCAGTGCCAGGAGGCGCCTCAGACGTCGCCCAAAGACCGCATCCACAGCTGCCGGGCCCTTCCGCTCTGAGGGCCACGAGGGCAAGGGGTCCTCTGGGCCACCAGGGGGTGTTTCCTGGTTGCCGCTGGAGTCCTCCCAGCCAGCGGGGGGCATCCCCTGGGCAGCAGGGGTCACCTCTTGGCCACCAGGGGGTGTCTGGCTAGACCTGGAGTCTTCCAAACCACCAGGGGGTCTCTTCTGGCCACACCGAAAATCCTCCCAGCCACCAGGGGGCTCCCCAGCGCGCCGGTGGTGGCATAGGCGCCAAGTGGCCACAGCTGCAGCGGTGGTGGCTAAGGCCACAGCAGCCCCTGTAGATGCGAGCTGGAGCCGAGCCCGGGGCATGGCAGGTGCCATGGCAGGAGGGCCCCGGGCTCTCACCCTATGCTGGCTACTACCCCGTAGGGCGCGTACTGAGCTGTCAGGGCCTGCCGGTTCCACCCTTATCCCACAATGCCCTGCCCCCGGGCCACGGGGGCGGGGGAGCAGAAGGGAGGGCCCTGCGGCCTCCCCGCCCCTGCTGACCACAGAGACGCTCCCTTCAACCATAGAGACACCGACCCGGACCACAGAGACGCGGCTTTTCTAAAGGCGCTACGGCTCCGCGGGAGGCGTCGAAGCCTCCGGGATCGGCGGTTCAAGACTTGCGGGGAAAATATGTTCCCGTCCCCACCCACCGGATTTGGAGCGACTCCGGATTTGCGCCCCAATACAACCGAAAACGGAAAGGGGGGGCGGGATAACGCGGAGTGACTCTGGATTGAGCCTCGTAGGTTTCCGTCTGTGGGGAAACTTTGCCCGAGGATCCAGAAGTCTGACGTCAGAGTCCCACCCCCGGGAAAACGTGGCGCGGGGTGGGGAGTAAAAGAGCACAAGGTGCGGCTGTGAGGTCACTTCCGCCTCCATAGGTGTCATGGTGACCTTACTGCCGCTTCATTTAAGTGCTTCCGGTAGAGGTGGTGCTTCCGGCGGGATGACGACAGCGCTTCTAGTAGCATTGGTGGCTGGTGGGGGCGGGGCTTCTCTCCACTTCCTATTTCCGGGCGGGGGGGCGTGGCCCGGTGTGGAGGTTGTTGATGCTGTTGGGGATCCTGCTGGGTGAGTGGTGCTGCGCGGCGGGCTGGGCAGGGGTCTGCTGTTACTGGGTTCTGAGCCCTCGGGGCTGCCCCATAGTAAGCCTCGGGCTGGGGGGGCTTGCAGGGGGCTGAGTCCCGCCTCATTGACAGGTGTTTGGGGGGGGGGCTGCCACACACTCAACCGTGGGAGAGCCTGCTGACTGGTTGAGCCTCTGGGGCAGGGGCTGGCAAAATGCGGCCTGCCAGGCTTTTCTGTCTGGCCCACATGGCCCCTAAAAATTTTAGAAAATTAATATTTGTCTGCCCCTGGCTGCCTGTCATGTGGCCCTTGATGGCTCGCCAAAACAGTAAGTGACCCTCTGCCCAAAATAATTGCCTGCCCCTGCTCTGAGGGGTTGCAGTGGGGTAGGGGTTGCCAGAGAGAAAGCTCCTGAGCCATGAGGCGGTGCTGCGATACTGAGCCATAGGCAGTTGCTGCATAATGAGGGCTGCTCTGAAATGAGCCATTCAGGACTTCCAGTGGGGCAGAGGCTGCCATGCAGTGAGCTGTTGGGACAGCTGGGGGTGGGTACTACAGCGATGGTGGCTGCCAGCCCCCAAGTCTTGGGGGAGTCATAAACAGTGAGCCATTCAGAGGGGTGTATGGGGTAGGGGCTGCCAGATAGTGAGTAAGCAGGGGGTGTTGCAGTGGGGGGCCTGTCATGTGGGGTTGTATTGGTCCAGGGGCTGCTAGATAATGAGCTGTGGGGGGAGGTGCTGCATGGAGGGGAGGCCCCTGCCACATCAGAAGACTTGGGTGAGAGGCAGGGGAGCATCCCAGGATGGTGGGGCCTGGCTACCCTGAGTCCTCCAAGTCCCCCCTCCCTTAAGCTGGAGCTAGCACCCCAACTCTTCTCCCTCTTCCCCCCACCCCCCTCCCCCCCCCCCCCCCCCCCCCCCCAAAATTCTGGACCCAGGGTGGGAACCCAGGTGTCTGATTTCTGCCTGGGAGGATTGAGGTAGACTCTGTACCCAGACTCCTGGGTTCTCTGCAGGGAGGGGGGAGGCTGGGAGCCTGAGGGTGTCCCTGGCCTTCTGGCTAATATGGGGGGCTAGTGCTGCCCCCCCAGAACCCCTTCCAGCACCGCTATGAGCCTGCAGTGGACTGCTGTGGCCACCTTCCTCTATGCTGAGGTCTTTGCCGTGCTGCTGCTCTGTGTTCCCTTCATCTCTGCAACCAGGTGAGATTCCCACCCCCCCTCCCCCACACCTGGGTTCTCTGGGGGTGGTATGGGTCAGGGGGGGCAGGGCTGGGAGCTGGGGTTCTCTGTGTGGGGAAAGGAGCCTAGGGGTAAGAACCCAGACACCTGGGTTTCCTGGATGTAGGTAGTGGGCCTGGGCGATGGGACTGGGACCCTGAACATCTGGGTTCTCTTGGGGCTGGGGGGGGGAGGGGGGTTAAAGCAGGGTGGGGCTGCATTCCCTAGCTGGGTAGTGGAGCTAGGATCAGGAGGGGTTGGAAGCCCAAATACCTGGGTTCTCAGAGGGGTCCACGGGTTGGAGCAGGGGTGGGGTGATCCAGAGGCACACTGCTGCTCTTCTAGCTCTGGAGAACCCAGGCATCTGGGCCTGAGCCCCCTCCTTCTCTTCCCCCTAGGTGGCAGAAGATCTTCAGGTCCCGCTTAGTGAGGGCCGTGGTGACCTATGGGAACACATTCTTCATCGTTCTCATTGTAATCCTCATTCTGCTTCTAATTGGTAAGTGGTCCTGTGAGGTCATGGGAGACGTGCTTTTTGTAGGGTTACCATGCAGTTATTAGTAGTCTTCTAGCAGTGGGGTCCCAGAGGTCTGGGTCTAGGCAGGAAGTAGGGGTTGGATGTCGGAGCTGGGATCGTGTTCTCCTGGCCTAAGTCTCTGGGCTGGGCTAGAGCAGGGGACCTTCCCACCAGGGGGTGAGGTGCTACAGGTCGGGAGTAAAAGGCACAGGCAGGGGTGGAGGGCTGTGGGCTGGGGAGTGAGGGTCACCAGCAGGGCTGGGAAGTGCAGGTCAGGAGTTGGGGGAGGGGGCTCGAGTCCGAAAAGGTTGAGAACCACTGTTTTAGGGGGTACCTTAGCCCTGCCCCCTCCCATGCAGGGCAGAGCCTGGTTTCTCCTGCCTTCAAACCCTGCCCTTGGCTGCAACTTAACCCTTTTTGAGGGCCAATGGCCTGGAATCTCCCCATGGTGGGGCACCTGGTGGGGCATTCAAGGGGGGTCTGGGAGTTCTGGAGGGGTTAATCCCTTGCATGCACCCTGGGGGGTAACCCCTTACCTGCCCCCCCACCACCCCCCAGATGCGGTGCGGGAGATCCGCAAGTATGACGAGGTGCCCGAGAAGGTCTCTCTCCAGCACAGCCCAGGAGCACTGGAGCACGTGCACATGAAGCTCTTCCGTGCCCAGCGCAACCTTTATCTGGCTGGCTTTGCTCTGCTGCTCTCTTTGTGAGTGTCTCCAGTGTGCTGGTGGGGTGGGCAGTGAGGGGCACTGCTGGGGGCTGGGGGTTGGAAGTGAGGGGCTCGGTGGGGGTATATTTCAATACTGACCTTGGCACCACCCAAGGCTGTGGCTGGCTCTAGGGTGGGCAGTGGCAGCAGCTCCTCAGCTTCTTGAAGTTCAGCAATGACAAGTGCAAAGTCCTGCATTTAGGATGGAAGAATCCCATGCACCACTACAGGTTGGGGGCTGACTAGCTGAGCAACAGCTTTGCAGGAAAGGGCCTGGGAGTTATAGTGGACAGTAAGCTGAATATGAGCCAGCAGTGCACCCTTGTTGCCAAGAAGGCTAACAGCATACTGGGCTGCATTGGTAGGAGTGTTGCCAGCAGATCAAGGGAAGGGATTATTCCCCTCTATTAAGCACTGGTGAGGCCACATCTGGAGTACTGTGTTCAGGTCTGGGCCCCCCACTACAGAAAGGATGTGGGCAGATTTGTTCTACTCTGCCTTGGTTAGTTCTGCTTGGCCTTGGTGAGACCACAGCTGGAGTACTGCATCCAGTTCTGGGTGCTACACTTCAGGAATGATGTGGAGGAGCTTGAGAGAGTCCAAAGGAAGGCCATGCACATGATTAGAGGCCTAGAGATGGGGTCATATGAGGAGAGGTTGAAAGACTTGGAAGTGCTCTTCTCCAGGCTGAAAGGACTTGGGACAGCCTGTACATATATAAGGGGTGTACATCAGGGCCTAGGGGAGTATCTATTCACCAAAGCCTCCCAGGAAGGACAAGAAATAATGGGCACAAACTGATTGAAGATCACTTCAGACTGGATGTAAAGAAAAACTTCTTTAAGTCGAGTGCCGAGGGTTTGGAACAGGCTACCCCCAGAGGTGGTACAGACACCCTGGCAATCTTCAAAAAGGGACTTAGTGCCCATCTTGCTGGGGTCATCTGATCCCAGCAGTCTTTCCTGCCCAAGTGCATGCGGGGGGGGGCTGAACCCAATGATTCATAAGGTCCCTTCCAGCACCTAACAACTGTGAAACTATGAAAGAGTCCAATGGAGGGCTACAAAAATGGTGAGGGGGTTGGGAGACAGGACTTAGGAAAGACTCGGGGATCTGTGCTTACTTAGTTTAGTGAAGAGAAGACTGAGGGAAGATTTAATAGCAGCCTTCAACTACCTGAAGGGGGGTCTGAAAGAGGATGGAGCTAGACTGTTCTCAGTGATGGCAGATGACAGAACAATGAGCAATGGTCTCCAGTTCCAGCCAGGGAAGTTTAGGTTGGATATTGGGAAGAATTTTCTCACCACGAGGGTAGTAAAACACTGGAACAGGTTACCCAGAGAGGTGGTGGAAGTGCCATCCCTTGAAGTTTTTCAAAACTCAGCTAGACAAAGCTTTGGCTGGGATGATCTAATTGAAGATGGTCCTGCTTTGAGCAGGGGTTTGGACTTGATGACCTTCTGAGGTCCCTTCCAACCCTCACTTTCTTTGATTCTTGCTGGGCCGTGTCTCATGGCCGCACGCCCGGCTCTAATCCCCTGCTGGTCTCTGAACCCAGCCCAACACTGGCTGATTGTTCTGGCACCTGGTAGGGCTGTGGGACAGCTCCTGGTCATGCAGGGGCCAAGGGAACCCACCCCAGAGCTAGTCACATTTTCAGTATCCACAAAGAACTAGCTTTAAAGGGTTCTGCCCCAGAGCCAGCTGCATCATAGGGTTCCTGTTATACCCAGCCCTTCCCCTTTGCAGACCTAGCAACATCTCGGCATCCCCATAGAACCAGCCTTACTGTGTCCCACCCCAGAGCCAGCCACATCCTGGAGTCAGTTTTACTCGGCTCCAGTGCTCTACGTTATACCTAGTCCTTGGTGTCCACCCCAGAGCCAGCTGCACCTTGGCACCCCCTTAGAGCAGGCATGGGCAAAATCCAGCCTGTGGGCTGGATTCACCCTCTGCTGCACCCTGGCAAGGGTTATGGGGCCAAGTGGGGCTGGCCCCACATGCTGCTGCCACCTCAGCCTGAGACTGGGGTGAGATCATGGGGAGCTGTGCACTATGGAGCTGGGCAAGGCTGGCCTGACTCTCTGCCATCCCCTGCAGATCCAGGGCCTTGCACTCTGGGGACTCTGAGGACCACCCCACCAGCGCACACACATGCACACACCCTGCACCCCAACCACATACCTGCCCACAGCTCCCATATGCACTCTCACCCCTCACCATACCTGCACACACACCTGCAACCTCCCCCACACATACCCACCACAACCGCATACTTCCACATACCTTCCCCTTATGGTCTTACTTTTGTATATTATGTGTGGGGGTGGTATTTTGGGCTATTATGCAATTGGCCCTAGAGACACTATGCAAACGCACATAAATCGAGACAAAAATATTTTTAAATAAAATTAAAATAAGTTATAGTAGATGTTTGTTTGTTTGTTTGTTAGTATGCAATCCCTTCCCCCCCCCCCCCAAAAAAAAAAAAACCCCCCCCCCAAAAAAAAAAAAAAAAGAAGAAGAAGAATACTTCCAGGGCAAGGGGAGGGACTTCTGATGGCAAAGATTAGATGTTAGGACTGAGACTTCCAGTCCCAAGTGGCAACCAGGAGGTAGGGCATATGTCAAGGGGCGGGGCTACCCTTGCAGTCCTCCATAGCTCACCAAAACTCTAAGCAGCCCTCCAGCCAAAATAATTCCCCACACCTGCTTTAGAGACGGCCTTAATGTGTCACCCCAGAGCCAGCTGCATCCTGAGGTCCCTGTTCTACTTAGTTCCTGCCCCACCTCAAAGTCAGCTATCCCCAACATCTCCACCCAGCCCCCATTAACCCTTGTCTCTCTGCAGCCTACTGCGGCGCTTGGTGACACTGCTGTCCCAGCAGGCCTCACTCCAGGCCTCCAATGAGGCCTTCAGGAAACAGGCGGAAGGGGCCAGTGAAGCAGCCAAGCGCTACATGGAGGACAATGACTGTCTCAAGAAGGTGGATGGGGCTGGAGATGGGACAAGACTGCACTGTTTCAGGCTACCACCAGAGGGGGTTGGACACCTGGGTTTTCTCTAGCTGGGGGGAGGAGGGGGATGGGAGCCAGGATGCCTGGGCCCTCTCCAGCTTGGGTGGGGGCTGTGGGACCCAGACGGCTGGGTTCTCACCCCCTTGGCAACTACCCACAGCAGCTGAAGCTGGCCGGCGTGGATGTAGCTGAGCTGCCCCCCAAGGATGTGGGGGCCCAGGAGGAGAATGAGACTCTCAAGGTCAAAGTGCAGAAGCTCAAGGATGAGCTGGCAACCAGCAAACGCAGTGAGTCCATTCTATGGGGCCTGCGCACCCCAGAGTCAGCTGCAGCTTAGCCCCAGTTATACATAGCCCTGGCACGCACCCCAGAGCCCGCTGCATGTCAGCAGCCCCATAGAACCAGCCTTTGTGGGTTTCTCCCCAGAGCCAGCCGCCTCTCAGGGCCCTGTTACACATGCACCCTACATGCAGAGCCCTAGCACCCACCCCAGAGCCCAACTGCATCTTGGGTCTCCCATAGAACTTGTGTCCCACCGCAGAGCCTGCCATATGGCAGTGTCCTTGTTATACCCAGCCCTTGTCTCCCATCTCAGAGCCAGCTGCATTTCCATTCCCGCTCTCCTTCC